ACGCAGCGCGCTGTCGAGCGCCCGCATCCAAGGTTCAAGGTCGGGGCTGGCTCCTTGGCGCCAGCATTGCTTCTGTTGCCCATGTCGCCATCAATGCGCGTAGCTTCGGATGCTACCAGCCTCCGTGATCATGCAGGAGCTGTTTGCGCTGGCGCGCGCCCGCCGTCTGCCGCCGGGCGTCTTCGACGTCCCTGCGCGGCTCGATCTGCGCGGGGGAGGCGGCGCCATTGCGCGCCCCCGGCTCGCGACTCGCACTGGTCTTCCGAGCCGCGCGGCGGCGAATAACTACGCAAGAGTGCTCCTGGCTGTGCGAGCGGTTGCACCGCCAACATCTACTACTAGGAGACCGTCGTTCGTCAGCTCGCATCTGCCGCGCCGCGCCACGAGCGCGGGCAATCGAAAGCATGCGCGGTCGCTCTTTGCCGAGCGACCTCGGAGACAGCAGCGCCGGCGAGATGCCCCAACTATAAAGCAGCTGCGCTCGAATGCGGCATGCAAGTGGCGAGTCGGCGCGCCGCTCCCCCGCCGCTACCACCGGCGCGACTCACCCAGATGGTGGCGGTGGCAGCAGTTTCCAAGCAACTTGCGCACCGTCACAGAGGCATTGTCACTGCTACAGAGGCATGTCACTGCTTGCCCTCTCCATGTCGACGGCGCCCCCCCCCCCCCCCCGCGATGGAAATTTGCCATTCGCCACTTCGCTTCGAGAAGTGCTCGGCGCAACGGGCGCTTTCAGGTCTGCAGGCGGTGGGGAACGCGTGGGGCGCAGCTCGCCGCATCGCGCCCATGCCTGAGCGCGTGCTGCGCCGCTTCGGCGGCGCCGATCTGCCTTGCGAAGTGCGTCGGTGGTTTGGGCGCCCTCGCCTCCGACAACTGATTGAGGAAGCTGCGTCGTGGTCTCGCCCTTCGACGGCGCTTGAGAGGCTGGTTCTCCTCGACGACTTCGAAGTCTCACGGCGAATCCTCAAGTTCCCAGAGCATTGGCTTGCAAGTCTTCCCTGCCAGGGCGAGTGCCTGGACGACGAGCAGCAGAGGGCGGAGCGGTGCGTTGCATTTGCGAATGCACAGTTGCGACAGGCATCCAGCTTTTCGACGGCGCTCCCGGCGAGGATTGTTGCGAGCTGCTTCGTATGATCTCGCTAGAAATCTGCGCTGGCATCTGGGTTCTGGGATCGGCGTTGCCTTAGGCATTGCTGGTGGAGCTGTCGTACATGGGCCCCCTCGATCTGGAATGATGGCGCGCCACTCCTCGCGCGCAGTGCGAGAATCTTTGGGGCCGGCGGCCCCGCGTCTTCTTCGACCCACGGTTGTGGCAACACTTCGCGACGGTTCGTGATCTGGCTGTATCCTTGGAGGTGGCAGGAGATTCGGAGTCCTCGCCCCCGCCCATGCCTGCCAGCCACCGTGACAGACCGGATGATGCCTTTTCTTCCCTGATGGCGATAATGGCGAGAGTGCTGCCTACTCCGCCATTCTCCAGGACTGCTCTAACAAGGCCCCAGTTCGCGTCGTCGACCGCGATCAGCGGGCCCATGCGTCTCCGTTTTCTGGCGGGTACGTATTACCTTCCCATCAAAACCATGAAGTTCCAAAGCCACTCACGTTTTTCGGCGAGCTCGTTCTTTTCGGCGACGCGGGCTACGCCCTCCCGTGGAACACCGTTTGTAACTGCCACGTCAACGTCGGCTCCTTGGTCGTCGGCATCAGCAGCTTGAGTGTCTCGCCCAGCGGCGCGAGCTGGACGCGAGGAGACGCACGCCCCCTTTGCGGGCTGGGTTCCTCCGCCCCCTCGTTTTCGTTGTTCCCCCTCCTCTTCTTTCTCCTCCTCCCCCCTCCCCCTCATCATCATCATCATCATCATCATCATCATCATCATCATCATCATCATCATCATCATCATCATCATCATCATCATCCCCCTCCTGTTCCTCCTCCTCCTCCTCCTCCGCCCCTTCTTTCCACTTCCCCCTCATCGTCTTCATCCTCCTCCTTGCCTTTCTCTGCCCACCTCCGCCTTCTCGTCTCTCTCCTTTTCCCTTTCCTCCCCCTCTTCCTTTCCTGTCGCGCCCCGAGAGGCGTCGCTGTTGTGGGCCAGGCCTCTCGCCGGATACATCCTCACCGCTGATGGCCCTGAAGCTTAAAATTTGCGACGGCTTTACGAACGGAGGGTGGCTGGTGTTCTACATGCGGCATTCGCGTTAGCGCCGCGCACATTCGCATTAGCAATCGCAGGAACTTGACGGGTGGAGGGCGGTTCCCTTTTTCAAATTGCGGTTTGCCCTCGTCCAGCGCGCATACGTCTTGCAAATTTGTATGTGTCTCGCGGATGTTATGGCGGGAGGTTTTCAATATGTGGCTCTCGCCCCAGCGCCGCGCGCATTCGCGCCAAAAGTTCGCAAGAGCTTCACGGATGGAGGGCTGCCCTTTTTTCAAATTTGGGGTGTAGCTTTCGTCCCGCGCGCATTCGTTTTACACGTCCGTATGATTTACGCGGATGGAAGAGGAGTGATTTTCAAAATGAAGTTCTCCCGCGCACAGTCGTTTCTCACCAGTTTTGCAAGAGTCACGGGTGGAGGGCGGCCCCGTTTCAAGACACGAGTGCTGCTTTCGCATCGCGCACATGTGTTTCAAAATTCCGCATGCGTCTCACAGGTGGAGCGCGGGCAAAGCTTGCAGGCACTTCAAGGATTGAGGGCGGTTCATTTGCAATGCGTCTTTCAGTTTAACGCCGCGCGCATCCATTTTAAAAATTTGCAATCGTTTCACGGATTGAAGGCGGTTCCTTTTTGACATGTGGCTCTCGTTCTAAGGCCGCGCACAGTTGGTTCAGAGTTTGCCAGAGATTCGTGGATGGTGGACGGTTTTTTCAAAATGCGGATCCCGCTTTCGCGACGCGCACATCCCCCCTAACAGTTTACAGCAGTTCAACGGACTCTTGTGGTCGACGTCCCATGAACGGTGTTCCGGCACGTTTGAGGATTGCCAGGGCGCAACAGTCACGTTTCTTGCGGTATTGAAGTCGCAGGAACGGCTTTCTTGCGCGATTCGGCATCGTCAGGACGCAAACGTAAAATTGGTTCGCGGCGTTGAAGTCCAGGGGTTGTTGCTGTGCTGTGCTTTGGCAAGACTGAGGAGTATCATACGATTGTCTTCCAACGGGACTTTTTTCCGGCAGTGATAATATATTCGTGTAGGGGCCGCTGAAGATGGGACTTGGACGGAGCTCCTCCTCCGTCCTCTTCCCTCCGCCCTCGTCCCTCCCGCCCTCCTCCTCCCTCCTCTTCCCTCTTCTTCCTCCTTCCTCCTCCCTCCTCCAACCGCTGTGCGCGAGTGGCCTGCAATTTCGTTTTTGGCTAGGCTCTCCTCCCAGCTGCCCATGCGCGCTGCCTCCGCTGAGCGCCTCCCGGCAGGCGACGGCAGCTGCGTGCCACGAGATGAGCCCTACCGGTATGGTGTTGCCCGCAGCCGGTCGAGGCCGCGCCTCTTCGCCGCCTCGCACAGGTTCGGCTACTGGGCCCGAGTCAGACGCGTGCCTCGCGCAGCCGACGTCCGTGACTTGGCGCAAGCCTGCGGCCTAAGCCACCCAGGGCCATGTCAGCATCGAGACCTTCGCGACGCCGTTGCCGAGGTTCGTGTGCCAGCTGATCGACCTGCCAGACCAGTTGGTGCTCATGCTGCTCGTCAGCCGCCTCGGGCCTCGCCGGTTCCTTCCCCACGATGGCGCGTGTCTCCCAGGATGGCCCGGTTGAGCTGCCCGCCGGCGCTGTGTCAGGCGCCCTCGCCGCAGGTGGTAATTCATGACGAGATGCAGGACGATCCGCATGGACCAGTCGCCCGCGCTCGAGATGTCAGAGTCTTCACTGGGGCTATGTTCCAGGTGCCAAAGGCTTCGATCGTGCAGGTGCTCGTGCCGAAGCGCGTCGTGTCTTCCCACGCTCCGTCCTCGGTTCCCGAAGCACGCGAGGTAGAAGCCATTGCTCATGATCCTCCCCTTGATGTACAACTGCTCCCCCGTCGGGAGCAGCGAACTGCCGTGCCTGGCGCATGCAGTGTCGGCTGGGAGATCGTTGCCGAGTGCAAGCAGCGGATCTCAGACATTGCTCTGCAGCACGACCCTGGCATCCTGGGAAAGATTGACACCCTGCTTAAGAAATACTGGGCCCGGGAGGACGCTCTTTACTTCAAAGTCTGCAGGAAGTTCGGGATGCACCGACTGCCGCTCAGTTATGGCCTCGGTCTGAGCGGCTTACATGGGCATCGCCCTCCCGATTCAGTGTGTGTGTGTGTGTGTGTGTGCGTGTGCGTGTGCGTGTGCGTGTGTTTGCGTGTGTGTGCGTGTGTGTGTGTGTGTGTGCGTGTGTGTGAGTATGTATGTGTATGTGTACGTGTATGTGTATGTGTATGTGTGTGTGTGCATGTGCGTTTGCGTGGGTGTGTGTTTCAGGTCAGACGAACAGAGTGCCCAGATCTGTTTATCCAGCTGGAGGCCAACCGCCTCGCCGCTCTCTCGACGGGTCGCCCCCGTTCGCCTCCTGAGCATTTTTGCTTCGCCGCTGCCGGAGGCACTGGCGCTAGCAGCCGCGCAGGAGCACATTTCAGTGCACAGCCCGGCGTCGCGCACACACACACACACACACACACACACACACGCGCACGCGCACGCGCGCACGCGCACGCGCACGCGCACGCGCACGCGCACGCCACGCGCGCACGCGCACGCGCACGCGCACCCGCAACCAGCGCACCGCACGCTACGCGCACGCGCACGCGCACGCGCACGCGCACGCGCACGCGCACGCGCACGCGCACGCGCACGCGCACGGCGCACGCGCACGCGCACGCGCACGCACGCACGCACGCGCGCGCGCACGCGCACGCGCACGCGCACGCGCACGCGCACGCGCACGCACGCACGCACGCATGCATGCACGCACGCGCACACACACATACACATGCCTTCCTCCCTTCTCTCCCCGCCTCTTCGCCGCCGGACCCCGCAGGAGACCCCCCCATCGAATGGCGGGCCAGGGCGCCCGCGGCGGGTGGTCCGCTGGCGGCCCTGCCGCCGAGGCAGTCGCTGCCGGCGCGCTGGCCCGCGCGGTCCGGGCCGCTGTGCAGGACCGCTCGGGGGAGCCAGGGCTTGCCCGTGAGTCGAAGAAGAAGAAGAACACCATAAACATGAAAAACTTTCTGGCGCTCCGCACGGATTTCTTGGATCCGCGCTGGGCCCCCCTGGCGGCGCTTTCGGCGCCGCCCCTGGCGCGCTCCGCGCGCCAGGGAGAAGGATCCAGCGCAGATCCAAGAAAACCGCGCGGAGCGCCATGGACTGGTCAGGACTAGTCGAGCGCAGATCCTTTTTTTCTTCAAGTGAGGACCCGCATGGACTTCAACGTGTCACGCGCACCTATCCAGGTCGCAGACGGTTCGTCGCTTTATCGGCCTCCGGAGGCCGGTCCGGGGCCATGGCCGTCAAGGCACGACTCGGGGTGAAAAACGGAGCCAGGGCTTTCTCTCAAAGCTCTTCTTTCTGGACGTCCAATCTCTCGCGCGCGCAGGGTCAGGACGTAGGTTTTGCGCCGTTTTCGGCGTCCCGCGGCTCTGGGGACATGGCCGTTAAAGCGCGCTTCGGGGTGAATAGCCGGGGGAGCCAGGGCTTTCTCGCCGAGAGCTCTTTGAACAGGATTTTTGTCAAACGCCAGATGCAGCTCAGTAGCGTCATCGTCCATGGCGGACTCAAGCTGGACTCCAAGGTAGGCAGCGGAAGGGGAGACGGAGGCCCTGGCGAGAAAATCCACCATGACTCCGCAACTGCATGAAAACCTGGCGTGTCACGGTGGACGGAGCCAGACGCAGGTTTTTTGTTCGGGGTCGGTCGTGGCCCCGAGCCGGCAGCCGGTTCGGGGCCTCGGCGGTCAAACCACGATTCGGGATGAAAAGCGGGCCGCGGGGAAAGGGTCTGGTTTTCCGAGGGGCCCGTGTTGAAAATCAGCTTGGCGGAAGACCCAACCATATGTATTTGTGAGTAACGCAGTTGTGAGTATCGTCTTCGGTGGAGCTCCCCTATGGGGCCACGAAGCGTGTGAGGGATGTACCGAATTGGGTGCGGTGGGCGCATGGGAACGTGTGTGAGGGTTGTGCCGAAATGGGTGCGATAGCGCCATGCGAGCGCAGCCGCTGGGGCTTTTGGTGGAACTCCCTATGCGGCCACGAAGCGTGTGGGAGTGGTGCCAAGCGAACGCAGCAGCCACTGGAGCATTCGGTGGAACTACCTATGGGGCCACGAAGCGTGTGAGGGGTGTGCCGAAATATATGCGCTGGCGCCATGCGAGCGCAGCCACATGGGCCCTCTGTGGGGTCCCCTATGCGGCCACGAAGTTTGTGAGGGGTGTGTCGAAATGGGCGCGGTGGCGCCATGCGAGCACAGCCACTGTGGCCGTCGGTGGAGCTCCCTATGGAGCCACGAAACCTGTGAGGGGTGTGCCAAAATGGGCGTGGTGGTACCCTGCAAGCGCAGGCATTGGGGTCTTCGGTGGTGCTCTCTACGGGGCCACGCAACGTGTGAGGGGTATGCCGAAATGGGCGCGGTGGCGCCATGCGAGCGCAGCAATTGGGGCCTTCTGTGGAGCTCCCCATGGGCCACGAAACGTGTGAGGGGTGTGCCGAAGTGGGCGCGGTGGTGCCATGCGAGCGCAACCACTGGGGCCCTTTGTGGAGCTCCTTATGGGGCCACAAGACCTGTGAGGGGTGTGCCTAAATGGGCGCGGTGGTGCCATGCGACCGCAACCACTGAGGCCTTCGGTGGTGCTCCCTATGGGCCCACGAAGCTTGTGAGGGGTGTGCCGACATGGGCGCGGTGGTGCCTTGCGAGCGCAGCCACTGGGGCCCTTTGTGGAGCTCCCTACTGGGCCACGACACGTGTGAGGGGTGTGCCGCAATAGGCGCGGTGGTGCCATGCGAGCGCAGCCATTTGGGCCCTCGGTGGTGCTCACCATGGGGCCACGAAGCGTGTGAGAGGTGTGC